TGAACAAAAATGGAAGGGCTGTCCTTAGGAGAAGACTCGAGACACAGCTGGGCATCTGTAGCCCGCGGATTATACGTGAAGGCAATGGCACTCGAGAGCTTGCCATCATACAGTAAGAGTTTGTGATGCTCAGCAAGGAAAAGGTCACTTTCTGCTTTGAATTTAAACGTGCCCTACAAATTCATAAAGTATAGCACAGTTAAGAGTATACTCCATTCAAGACCTAAATACAAATCATATAGATATAAACCTGTAAGGCGATACCTCTCTAACAATACCAAACAAGGGAAACCCTCCATATAACGTTAGTCCTTACCACCATGAATTTTCCTCTTCCTACAACTTTTGTTGAATCAGGTTTTGATTCGTTACCTTTGCATTTTCCTTTGTCAAGATAGTTTCTAATTTCCTTTGTGATTTCTGCTTTTGAACCACTGATGGTTGGGGGGGGGGGGGGGTGATGTATAATTTTCATGTTATTTAAGGGGAGGAAAGACAATTATAATTTCAATTTTCTTAAATTTGTCAATATTTGCTTTATTTGCTTGTGGCCTGGTCCATCCTGTCTATCAAGTCTATCTTGAAGAACATTCCATGTATACTTAAAAAGAAATGTGTTTATTATACTTTTGTTTCATGGACTGTTTTGAATATGCTTAAGTATAACTGATTATCATTATTGTTCAAGTCCTCTGTTTCCTTATAAGTCTTCCTTATGGTTGTTCTACCCATGATTGGAAATTAAACACTGACGTTTTCTACTATCAATGACACATATTTCTCCTTTCAACTATCAAAGTTTATTTTATATAGCAACATACCAATGTTTTGATCAATAACAAACTACGATGACAGTCTAAGGACTGAAGACTTTGCTCAGGTAATTATGAGGCCTGGAGCTCAAGCGGAGGAGGGGGGTAGGGGGAGAGAGAGAGAGAGAGAGGGAAGAAGAAGGAGAGGGAGGGAGAGGGAGGGAGAGGGAGGGAGAGAGGGAGAGGGAAAAAGAGAGGGAGACAGAGAGAGGGAGAGAGAGAGAGGTGGAGAGAGAGAGGGATAGAGGGACAGAGAGACAGAGGGAGAGAGAAGGAGAGAGAGGGACAGAGAGGGACAGAGGGAGAGGAGAGAGAGGGAGAGAGAGGGAGAGAGGGTCAGAGTGACAGAGGGACAGAGGGGGAGAGAGAGAGAGAGAGAGAGAGGGAGAGAGAGAGAGGGACAGAGGGACAGAGGGAGAGAGAGGGAGAGAAAGGGAGAGAGAGGGAGAGAGGGACAGAGGGAGAGAGGGACAGAGGGAGAGAGAGGGAGAGAGAGGGAGAGAACTAAATGTTTAAATGTTAAGAAGACAGATATTCTTACCCTTATTTGAACATTATACAATGTATGTAAACGCCATACCATATCACATAAAATATATAACTTACAGGTTAATTTTTAAAGTTAAGACATCATCCTAACATTAAATGAAATTGAAAGAAGCTAATAGTTCACATAACACCCTACACAGGTCAATTATACTACACATCTTTCTGACTGCTACAACTTTGCCATAGTGTTTCCCATCATCCTGACACCCTACTTAATTACTCAAGGCAAATCTCCCGTGTCTAATACAAATTACACCAAGTGAACAATAAGTAACATACCTTGTATCCCAGGCCCAACTGATAAATAGCAAAAATCTGAGCTGCATTAAGTGCATCACTGAATAGGTAAACTGCAGTCATCTGACCACAGAATACTCTGTTAGCATCTGCTGTTTCTGATGAGCCCAGGAAACATTTGTCAAAGGTCTGTAAAGAAAATGGAAAGAAAGTTTTATAGAAAAAAAATACATACACACATGCATACGCACATGCACACACACCTTCTGGAATAATAAAAAAATCTTCATTGGTATAAATGTTACATCATGTCTAACCTGTTTCTGAATAGAATAGTAATTCACTTAGTATTTCAGTTCACTCCTTCTCACCTGAGTAGAAAGTAGTTTTCTAGAGAACAGTAAGTTAAATTTGATGACAATGTGAAGGTTAAAAAAAGGAATCCGTAGCTAGGCATCAATGGCTCATACCTGTAAATCCTATTTACTCAGGAGACTGAGTTCTAAGGATCCTGGTTCAAAGTCAGCCTGGGCAGAGAAGTCTTTGAGAGTTCCTTATCTCTAATTAACCAAAAATCAGAAGTAGAGCTGTGGTTCAAGTGGTAGACCACTACCCTTGTGCAAAAAAAGCTAAAAGACAACATCCAGGTCTGAATTCATGCCCCAAGACCAGCACACAAAAAAAAAAAAAAAAAAATCAGGGAAACTCCTGTGGCTCTACAAACTCAGTAGCCAAAAATTCAAATAGAAGAATATAGTTTGACACAAGAAGTATGAGTAAGCTTTCACAAGGTACTGTGCTAAGTGTGCTAAGAGATTTATCAACCTCATCACATTTAATCATTACAACTTTCTAAAGTACACAGTTGTTTATTCCTCTTTACAACAACAACAACAAAATGAAACAATGGACCAAGACCAATCACATAATCAATGACGACAGTGGGGGGATTACAACATAGAGTGTGGCTGATGAAACACCCTGAGCTCTATAGTTGAAATTAACGTTAGTTATGTACGTGCATGTGTAGCAAAGGATGCAAAAGGAGTAAGTGTGGGTGGCAGAGTTTGTGGCTATTTTCCTTAGCTTTCTTGGTAGTGGTGTTTTGTTAAATTTTCTACAAAAAAAAGATGATTATGAAGACAATCTGAGTTCTATTACTGTAGTAGCAAAATTAGATTACAAAAAGTCACCACTTTTGTATTCCAAAGTTTATAGTCAAGTTTTAAAACCCCTTCTAACTTGAAAAGCACATGCCTTTATTTTTGGCACACATACATTGATATGACTTACATCATTGGTGTTGACAAACCACGTTATCTCTCCATAGGAAGCAAGCTCCCCATTCACATAACATCGAAGCTCACTGTTCTTCCATCGGTTATAAATATGTACTATAGTTACCATGTACCACTGAATAAGAAAAAAAAACAGAAACAGTAAAAGTAAATTTTATCATAATTCTCCCTAATACAACCATGTTGAAAATAATGAAAAAAGCAGGAGGATAATAATTAAATCCCAAAGCAAAGTTGAAGTACTTCTATTAAATTGAGTATTTACTACCTCTAGAACAATATTTATTTATACAGGGAGGCTCTTGAGTAATGAGAACTCATTCACTAAATAATTTTATTTATTATAAAAATTTTCAAGCATACCCCTTTAAATCTAAATATCTAGCATAATTATCTTCCTTTAAATCTGAATTAGCTGGGCACTGGTTGCTCACAACTGTAATCCTAACTACTCAGGAGGCTGAGAGCTGAGAATCGTGGTTCAAAGCCAACCCAGGCAGGAAAGTCTGTGAGACTCTTCTCTCCAATTAACCACCAGAAAACTGGAAGTGGTGTTGTGGCTCAAAGTATTAAAGCACTAACCTTGAGCACAAAAGCTCAGGGACAACATCCAGACCCTGAATTCAAACCCCAGGACCAATTAAAAAGAAAAATCTGAGTATTTTCTCATGTACCTAATCTATACACCAATGCAACTACCTATACATTCTAAGTTATTTTTTAATCTCTATGTTTTAAAGTGTAAAGGAAAACACATATTAAATTTGCATTACTAAAATAATTATCATTGACATCTCCTATTTCTGCTTAAACTCAATCAGTAAATACTCATTTTATGATCCAAATCAGGGAAATTAACATTTATCCATTGATTTACACTTTGATTTTTAAAATAGCTAACAACATAACAGGTATGTAAATACCATTAAAACAGTATTTCGAAAGGTAGTATAGCTTATTAATGTAACTATAAGTAAGATCACATACCTTTTGTGGCTTGAAATCAAATTTCACACAGTGCTGAAAGCCTTTTCCTTTTGACTTTATTGATGTTATAATCAAACAGCCACCAACAAAATGAGCAGAATAACCAAGACCTTTGCTAGTTCTGAAACTATGAGAAAATAAGTTTCATTTTTATCTCTAAATATTCTTATTTCCAAAGGAAAATAATAAAACTAAACAATTACGGAAGTACATACCAATATAGATAGGGCTTATCCTTATCTACATTGATGTTATTTACAGGGTCCATTCTCAGCCAGGTATGAAATGTAAAACCACTCTGGTATGGCCATTTGGCTATGGGAGGTAATGCAATCGCCTACAGGTAAAAAGCTTTGAGTTACTGACCTGCGTGAAAAACTTTATTACTGCATAGATCAACGAGACTTTACAATACTACGTACATTTCTACCACATCAAGGCAAACTCTTATCTGAAAGAAGACTTTTAGTAACTTCTGAATCTTCCAAAATACAAACTAATGATGCTAATTTATCAAGCAAAATGAACATTCAGTGTCATGTGCAAGACATAGATCATGCCCACTTCATTTACTACAGCACACATATCCATAGAGATTCCAAATGAAAGAGAAGAGTGGTGATACCAAACTAGAAATTTGATAGAATTTCGATAGAAAAAAGAAAGGTGAACAAGAATGAAAAAAATTAAAGAAACAGCTTAGTATGTTTGTTTTACACACCATACATGTAAAATTGAAGAGAGTTATTCCATAAAATATTTTAAATTGTATTAATAACTCATTTTGTAGATGGTTTTACCATTTGGCTTAAATTTTTATTTAAAAGATATTATATAATGGTAGGGATACTAAGTAGTTAAACAGTCTTTAAAAGGAAAATAAAAGCCAGTAGACTCATCCCACCAAATTCAAACATACTATAAAGCCATTGCAATGAACATTATGTGGTGCTGGTATAAGATATATGTACTTTGGGTTGGCAAATTATGTCACCAAAAGTGACAAAAGTAACAATACATAAATTGGGCTTCATAAAATTGTAAACTATTCTTTGAAAAACATGTCACTAGCTTTCTCCCTCTTTCCTTCTCTCTCTCTCTCTCTTCCTTCCTTCCTCTCCCCGGTTGGCCATGCCCTGCTCAAAAGAGACCCCCGCCAGCTCCCCCTGCAAGCGGACTCGACCTGCCAAGGAAGGCGACATGCGGCTGCGCTTTGTGAGGCTCTCCGAGCACGCCACGACCCCGGCCCGGGGGTCGGCGCGCGCCACAGGCTACAACCTGTACAGTGCTTATGATTATACAATACCACCTATGGAGAAAGCCCTTGTGAAGATGGACATTCAGATAGCTCTTCCTTCTGGGTGCTGTGGAAGAGTAGCTCCACATTCTGGCTTAGCTGCAAAACACTTCATTGATGTAGGAGCTGGTGTCATAGATGAATATTATAGGGGAAATGTTGGTGTTATCTTGTTCAATTTTGGCAAAGAGAAGTTTGAAGTGAAAAAGGGTGATCGAATTGCTCAGCTCATTTGTGAACAGATTTTTTATGCAGAAATTGAAGAAGTTCAAGTCTTGGATGATACTGAAAGGGGTTCAGGAGGTTTTGGTTCTACTGGAAAGAATTAAAATTTGGGCCAAGAATAGAAAATGAAAAGGCATACTTTTTATTAAAAATAATAGGTTTTGCGTCAAATGTTTTTGGTGTTTTGCACCATAGTAAACTTAATAGTTTTAACTTGTAAAAAATAGTTTATTTTCTTAACGATAGAAGGAAAGGTTACTTCTGTCGGGATTATATGGAAACTTATTTTGTGTTTCTGAAATTGCTAGTATGAAAATCTATCTGCTTTGTGAATACTTGACAAGTTTTAAAAAATCAGATGTACAATTTAATTCAATAAAGAGTATCTCGTTGGTTCTGCTTTAAAAAAAAAAGAAAAAGTAAAACATGTCACTAGGTTGGTAGGAAATATTTATAAATCAAATATCAATGAAGGATTTCTACCCAAAAATGTAAAAAGACTCATATAACTCAGTAATAAAAAGGCAAATACAACCTTAAGTAGAACACCAGCCAAGTAAGCTTTACAAATATTAAGGCCCTGAGTTCAATGTGTGGTACCACCAAAAACAAATATTTATTTTAGTCAGATGTGGAGATAGTCGCCTGAAACCCTGTACTTGGTAGGCTGAAAAAGGATGATCATAAATCAGAGGCCACCCTAGGATACATAGTGAGTTCAAGGACAGCCTGGGAAACATCGCAAGACCCTGCCTCAAAAAAACAAAACAATAAATGGGAGTGATATTTCAAGTCTGCAATCCAGCTACTTTTTTCTTTACCTCTAAAACAGCTAGGAAGGGGCTGGGAAGGTGGCTTGCATTCATGAGACCCTGGGTTTGATTCCTCAGTACCACATAAACAGAAAAAGCTGGAAGCGGTGCTATGTCTCAAGTGGTAAAGCCTTGAGCTGAAGAGCTGAGGGACAGCACCCAGGCCCATAGTTCAGGCCCCATAACCAACAAAATATAGATAGATAGATAGATAGATAGATAGATAGATAGATAGATAGATAGATAGATAGATAGATAGATAGATAGATAGATAGATAGATAGATAGATAGATAGCTGAGGAAAAGGAACAAGCACAATGGTTGTAAGGATTTGGTTAGTTTGTGCAAAGAACAGCCACTATCAAGAGCATTTAGAGTACAACACTTCGAGGAAGCAAAAGAAAGGAAAAGCTGGAGTGATTTCCTCATTAACATTTACTTACTGCAGCACTCTTCCCTGGAAAGTTGAAAAAGGCGTCAGGACCATACTTCTGAGGCATGTGCTTCAGCACAGACAGCAGCTTCCCTGCATGTGGAGGCTATGAAGACAATCAACAATTCAATAACCACAAGATTCAGCACAAAAATACATATTTTAAACTAGACATGCTTTGCTTTGCACAAGAATCATCCAAAGCTTAAAAGCACACACAGTAACCAAAAAAAAAAATATTTTCAACTGTCTTAAGGACATAACATACTCTACCCATTTTCTATAATACTGTAGGATTATTAGGTGTTTTGTAAATATGAGCCAATATTATTTGACACTTAAAATTCTTCTCTAAACCACAGCAAAAATTAATAAATATTTTAAAAATATTTTTAAAACTACAACTGGACACCAGTGGTGCATACTTGTCATTCTAGCTATGTGGGAAACTGAGAAAGGAAAGATTGTAGTTTAAAGCCAGTCTGGAAATACACAAGACCCCTTCTCAACGCATAGCTGGATATCATGGTACATGCCCATCATCCCAAGCTACATGGAAGGCTGAGATCAACGGGTCATAGTTTCGAGCAAGCCCAGGTGGGAAAGTCCATCTCAACAGGACTCCATCTCAACAGGAAAAAACTGGGCTTAATAGTGTACTTGTCATCTGAACTATAAAAGGAAGCCTAAAATAGGCAGATCAGAATATAGCTTCAAGACCAAGGAACTGAGACCCTATTTCAAAAATAACCAGCACATTAAAGAGCCAGACAGGATCAAACTACAAGAAGATCACTGAGGTGTCTTCATCCTATTTTCATTGCTATTATGTATAATCATGACTAATTATTCAAATTCAGCAACCTCTTACCTAAATATCAAACAGAGAACTTCAAAACTTTTTTTTTTTTTTTGCCATTCCTGGGGCTTGAACTCAGGGCCTGGGCACTGTCCCTGAGCTTCTTTTGCTCAAGGCTAGTACTCTACCACTTGAGCCATAGCACCAGTCACTTCCTGCTTTTTCTGTTTATGTGGAACTGAGGAATCAAACCCAGGGATTCATACATGCTAGGCAAGCACTCTACAACTAAGTCACATTCTCAGCCCAAGAAATTCATTCTTAAATGATCAAGACATTTTCAATCAACTAGTTAAAAAATATAGTTAGCAACAGGTAATGACTTATTCTTTTAAAACCAATTCCAAAGCAGGTACCCGTGGTTCACACCTATAATCCCTGCTACTAAGGAGGCCAAGAATCTAGGTTCAAAGCCAGCCTGGACAGGAAAGCCTGTGAGACTCTTATCTCCAATTAACTACTAGAAAACCAGAAATGGAACTCTGGCTCCAAATTGTAGAGCTCTAGTCTTGAGCAAAAGAGCTCAGGGAGCCCAAGTCCTGAGTTCAAGCCCTATGACTGACAATAATAACAATAATAATAAATTAACTTCAAATTGAACTAATTTAACCTTCAGTCACAAATTCAAATACAATATTGTACATCATGTCTGCCTAGAGAAACCACTCCTCCAAATCCCCATTCCCGTAAGTCAATCAATGACAATAAAAAATAAATATATCATGAAAATGTACCTACATGCATAGACACTATAGGAGACAAGGATACTGGAACTTTTTCAGAAAAAAATTAGTTGTTCTATTTCAAGTCTCTTTTTAAATGTTCATACCTATGCACTGATTCTACACATACAAGTTGATTCTATACATAGAAATCTATGCAAAATAATCAAAAAAGCAGATATAGACAGCCACAGAGATTTTTTTTTTCCATTACATACTAGGAGAGCACCAGTTGGAAATACCCTGAATGCCCAATAAAGAGGTAAATAAATATAATGAATATCTCAATTCACATTTTATTAATAGTTTGATTTTCTCCTAATCATATGTATTGCCTAATCTTATTCTGAGTCTCCTCCTTCCTGCAACCAATTATATTAACATGTTTTATCTTTTCAGTGTATGTTTTCAAAGATGTTTTTGTTTGCTCGTTCCTAGCATATGAATGGTGCTATATTAGAGCTATCATTCTGCTAATTGCTTTTTTCTTGTTTTTTTAATCTATTCATATTACTTTATGCACTGGTTCTAGCTGCTATATAATAATCTATTCTGTGCATCTAATATATTTTACCTATTTACCACCCTAATGACTGTACAATAATGTGATAATGTACAATTCACAATGTTCCAGTAAACATTCTCATGTTTATTTCCTTATGGGACTACTTGAGAATTTCTTTGTATATACACTAAGAAATTATTAAGTTATTGGACATAAGTATATTTTATGTGACTAGATTCCTCTTGAGGTTGACTTCACTACTGTTCACTCCAAAAATATACAAGGATTAAAATAACCATATTTCTCCCTGTACACCTTTATAACAATAGTTACATTTTAAGTAAATAAATAATAACCATATTTCTGGCCAGACATGGTGGTGAATGCGTGTAATAACAGTCTCTCAGGCAGAGGGGAAGGGAGGATCGCACTTAGAGGACAGCTGGGGCAACAAGTTTACAAGAATCCATCTCAACAAGCTGAGTGCTCCAGCTCTCTGGGAGGTATAGACAGAAGGACTGGGGTCCAGAATGACCCTAGACAAACACTGAGAGTCCTTGTTGGAAAAATAACTGGAGCAAAAAAGGTCTGGGGCTGGGCGCAGGTGGTTTACAACTCCTTGCTACTCAGGAGGCTGAGATCTGAGGATCACTGTTTTAAGCCAGCCAGGAAAATCTGTTTGACTATTTTTTCCAATTAATCACAAAAAAGCCAGAAGTGGAGCTGTGGCTCAAGTGGTAGAATGCTAGCCTTGAGCAAAGGAGCTCAGGGATAGCGCCCAGGCTCAGAGTTCAAGCCCCAGGACCAGCAAAAAAAGTGCTGGGGATATGGCTCAAGTAGTACAGCACTTGCCTGGCAAGCATAAAGCTCTTAAGTTTAAATTTCAATACCACCAAAAAATATAAAATATCCATATTTCCAAAACTAGGCTTGTTATTTTCTAACAAAATACTTTTCATTATAGACATAGTTAGGTATCATATTTGTTTTAATGTGAATGATTTTGTTTTTATCTGTTTGTGAAGTTTCTACTACTAATAACTGTTCATGCCATATCCAGGAATGGAAAAAAACTGTGCACCTATAACTGCTGTTTCAATTGATCTCTTCCTATCAATCTGACATTTACTCCATGAACAGTATTAGTCACTTATAATGTATTAACATATTCAGCAAGGGAAGACTCTCAAAAGTTTTTAGGTTTGTTTTACCCATTGTCCTTTATCGCCTTGAAGTTTACTGAAGAAAAGCTTTAGTTCTCGAACTGTCAAATTATAGCTAGCCAGCACTCCCAACATGTCAACCAAAAGATCTGGAAACAAAAGAAAACAATAAAATAATTAGGCCACTTATATTTTTTAAAGAGCTAAAATTCATGGGCTCACTTAGGAGTTTGGATGCCAGAGTTTTAGGTACACACTACATGCTCAAATATTCTTAAATGATATTAAATTATTTTATTTATTTACTTTTTTGTTGGTTGTAGAGCTTGAACTCTGGGCCTGGGCACTGTCCCTGTGCTCTTCAGCTCAAGACTAGTGCTCTACCACTTGAGCCACAGCGCCACTTCCGGTTTTCTGGTGGTTTACTGGAGATAAGGGTCTCATACACTTGCCTGCCTGGGCTGGCTTTGAACCACGATCCTCAGATCTCAGCCTCCTGAGTAGGCAGGATTACAGATATGAGCCACCGGTGCCTGACTAAATAATTTTTTAATATAGTACTTAGCCAGGCACTGGAGGCTCATTTGTAATCCTACCTACTCAGGCTGAGATCTGAGGATCACTATTCCAAGCCTGCCAGGGAAGGAAAATCCTTGAGACTCTATCTCCAATTAACCTGAAAGTGAAGGTGTGCTTCAAAGGTGCCAGTCTTAAGCAAAAAA